AAGTAAACATTCAAGTGAGAACGAACATGGATCAACAGAGGTATGAAGGTGTTAGTTTTATCGGACAACCTTATGTTTTATTTGGACGCGAAATATGCGTATTCCAACACTGTTGAGACTTTTACTGAATAGTTTCTAATTGCTTAGAACACCAGAACAAGTATATCGGGGGTTTATCGGTGCCCCCAATTGGTCGATCGCTTAGTTAGTCGAGTAGGAGACTACCCTAGCCTACTTGACTGGAGGAATCTCTGTTCTGTTGGATTTGTCGGGACAGTAAAGTTTTGGGCGTTTTGGGCTTCGAAAGAGGTTGACTCTTTTTTGGTATCTGTTAGCATATTTCGGAGACTGTTTAGTCTACGCTAGCGGATGTTTTGTCACGCGTTAAAAGCTGACCGACCAAAGCTAGGTACTACTGACCGAAATTGTGAGGCACCAATAAAGTATCAATTTGTTTTTTTTTTCTACTGGCCTATCTATCCCCCCTCCCCCAAGTGTGCAGCATTCACGCGATAAGTGCATGTAGCTGCTTGTTTCAAAACAAAGGCCTATACTTTTCGGTTAAAGTTGAGCGCATCTTTCCTTTACGGTTAAATGCATCAAATGCCGGATGAAAACACCAAAAGGCAGTCCTCAGCAAATTTGTTTGATCGCTCTAAGGGTCTTTTCGTGACAGTCGCAAACGCGTACATTACTTTATGCCTGCGACCAAAGTTTCAGATTACGATTGAAGTTGGGTCAAAGTGGATGTAAACTTACTACTTTCAATTGACCACATCTCGCACAAGCCTTCCTTGTCCCTTTCATACTAGACACCTCAACGACTGTTCTCTGTTGCAAGCCTTTGTTTTAACTGCCATAGGCCACTCAAATTAATTCCACCAGTGCTTGGCCTGCATGTCTGTAGGCGCAGGTTAATTAGATAGTAGTCTCGTTTTTATGTGGCGCTAGCTAATAAAAAATGCTCGTCAAATTTAGAAACCAGGCAAGAATTTGTTATATTGCGTCCAAAGGCGGACTTTAAAAAGGAACGGGTTGCAATTGTGGTGGCTTTGTGCCCATTCTCAATGAAATGAATGTTGGATTTGGGGTTGGGTTTAAAATTAAACTTAGGTTTAAGTTCAGTATTAAAGTTATGATTTAGGTTGGGTTTCAGCAGGGCCTCCGCATACATATATATTTACTCAGGAATTTTCGAACACCGATCTAATTGGTCCCCCGAAATAAGCTTCGTGTGGGGGGATAGGGGTAGCAAAGTAGCGACCACTGGCCAGACCAAAGTCGGCCAAGCTAGAAAAAGCAGCGAGGTATGACAGCGTTTTTGGGTAACTTGATGCAGAACTGTTTCGGGTTTATTTGCTTTCATTCAGCCAAGGATAACGCTGATCACCAGATGGGTACGGAAACCTAAGCGTGCGTACACCCAGATGGTGCAGATGCTCTAGCACTGGGGTTTATCAGATGAATCATAACCACTTCGTCGAGCGGAGCTTCATAAATGCCTCACCATCTGCCATTCGCTGTAACTGCAGACCGGGTATCTATTCACCAAAGAATGTGCGCATACCGATCTAATTGGCTTCCTAAAGTAAACCATGGTTTCTGTGATCGCCTTATTTTCAAATATATACAGTTCTGTGAATCCTGCAAACAACTTTCAGGACGAAATTTAACTTGGTAGTTTGGCGTATATCTGGACAGGTTATTTTGATCAACTGAGTGGATTTAGTAATAAGAAGGGCTTTGGTTTGAAAAACTGCCCTCATCTTTAAAGTTATTGGGGTAAATAGGCTCTCATTTTGGTTAAATCATGAGTATGTTTATATTAAAGAAATTCCCTATGCTATAAGGAAAGACAGTACGAAAATTTCTTCTAATATACATTGTGCTGTGGAAAAATTCCATAATTAGTAAAAAAAGGTGGATAAACTGGAAAATTTTGTGCGAAGTTGATCAAATGGAAGTGAAGCCAAGTTTAAGGAATCAGAAAAGTTTGTGCCAAGTTGATCAAATAAAACTAAAGCGAAGTTTAAGGAGTTGAATTTATTTTCAGAATCAAGCAGCGTTAGAAGTTTTAAAAATTATATTTAGCTATTCTGAGAAGTTTTTTTGCACAAAATGCAGTGGCAAAAAAGTTTCGGCGCGTTTTGTTTAAACCTCACCGCTGACCTTGCACATAACCAAACCTTGCCA